TTTTTAATTATCTGAGACATTTGGCAAAAAGAGACATAAACTATGAGGTTAATAAAGTGGGAGAAAAAGGAGAAATCAGGGTCAAGTATAAAGGAAATATTGGCCACTTCCCTGACCTTTCCTTTAAGTATCTTTTATCATAGTTCTTGGCATGGAACTTACTGATTAGATATCCTAGTTGGCAGCACAAAAAGATAGCAAGATAAAAATGCAAAACAAACTTTATTATTTTTTATTGATTAAGAGGGGACAGTTTGGTCTGAACCTATGAGTTGCTCACTGCTATTGGCCTGCCTAGGAGGAACAAAATTGCCTTTCCCACTGCTCAGTAGCGTTCCTTTTCTCTGTGTATGTCCATATATGTTCATGTTTGTGTGTTTCAGGATGGGGTGAGCAGGTGGGATGTGTTGCATCTTAGACAAATGGGTTTATTTCTGGCAGAAGGCCCAATGGAGCAGGAATATAACAACTTTTTAAAAATTGCCTGTTAGACTAGGAACTTTTTAGTAAATTTAAAATAATAACTCTTTTGATCAATAATCATCCCCAAAAGCCTGAAAGATGAGTATGGTCAATTTCTCATATATGAGATGCCTTTGTCTTGTTTTCTAACAGCTTCCCTAGCCAGACAGTTCCTCTGTCGGGTGTGGCCAAGTGGGGAGAAGGAGAAGAACAACATCTCTAATGACCAGCTCCATAGTTTGCTCTGGTGAGATGTTTGGTTTCTTCCAAAGAGCCAAATAACTTTTTTCCATTTTGCTACTATTGGGATCCCTCGTCTTGTCAGAGACTGAGAAATGACCTTTGTTAGGGGGAACTTGAAAGCAATGAAGTGGGTTTAAAATGAACACAATTTGGAATATGTGGATCTTAAGATCCTCTCGTTCTGTTTTATACTGTCAGATAACTCCTTATTGTTTAATCAATTCGTAGAGAAAGTAGAGGAATCTGCAGTTGTATCCTACTTCATTGATCAATAATTGAAATATTTATTTGCTTCTCAATGCAGTATCTACCTGGAGCACACAGGCAGTGTTCTGAAGGCCATAGAGGAGATTGCTGGTGTTGGTGTCCCAGAACTGATCAATTCTCCTAAAGATGCATCTGCTTCCACATTCCCTACACTGACCAGGTAAGGGAGTTCTTGACTCTACTTCTTTCCTGAAGGTGGGATCACAGTCACACTGCAATGTATGTAGTTTCTGAATAACGACCTTACTCTTCATCTAATTCTGATACAATCATTCATTCCGCGAAGAGTGGCTACTATGCATTCCTTCCAAGCTTATCTCAGCCAACACATAGGAGAGGACCTTATTCAAGAATGAATTTTCAGTAGTTACAGTCATCAAAGGCAGTGAACATTTAATCACCAAATTTCCATCCGTACTTTCATCCTTTAAACTCGAGACTATTTTTCCAATATTTTAACCACATTTAGAACAATAAGGTGATTGTTGTATTTAATCATGTATGTCTCACTTAATGGATTTGTGTCTCAGAATATCAATAGTTATCTTACACTTGTAGTCTTTTCAGTTTATAAAGCACTTTCACATTCTTTATCTTATTTGATCCTTTTGATAATTCTGTGAGATAGGTATCATTATCCCTGTTTTACTGTTGAGTAAAATGAGGGTTAGAGAGGGAACTTCTCAAGCTCACATAGGCAATAAAATAAACATAGAACTGGGACTCACACTCACATATTCTCACCATTACATTACTGTTCTTTCTATACTACCATACCACCTCCTTTCATAAAGTTAATTCTAAATTGTTTGACAGTCCATCTTCTTGGGCTCATTTCTGAGTCCTTTCCTCTCCCCATCCTCTTACAGTGGACCTTAGTGAAAGGACATTCAGAGCTGGGGAAGGCAATTCCTTTTGGTTTCTGGCTTCTTCCCATGATGTTCTTTCTAAGCAGTGCATCATGGTGTGGATTTGCATGCTTTCGCCCTCTTCTAGGCACACCTTTGTCATTTTCTTCCGTGTGATGATGGCTGAATTAGAGAAGACAGTAAGAGGTCTTCAGGCTGGCACAGCAGCAGACTCGCAGCAGGTGGGTAGGTACTCCCACTCCAAGAAGTGAACTCTGGATTACTTGGAAATTGCTGATTCTTCTATTTCTTGGGTCCAGGGTTTCTCCTAAGATATTTTTTCATGTTACTGAGATCTAGGATTCTTTTTAAAGAGCTTCTGGTTTAATTTCCTTCCCCTCTAGTTGGAGATGAGGATTGGGTGCTCTTTTCCCTGGCTACTGCCCAGTTTGCCTCTTGCTGACTGGCATGAGGTAAGCCAGCCTGTTTGAGATGCTGTGGGCCTTGGCAGCCTGCTACCAAGAACTGAGCTAGACTCTTGAGAGGAAGGGCTAGCATAGGGAATTAGAAGCCACAGAGATCTGATGGCTAGTAGGTATGTTGCAGAGGCTTTTACCTACTTGGAAATTACTAAAGAGGAATCATCTTTTTAGAAAGTCTTTTTAAGATATTCTAATGTTATCACAGTATGTACAGGCCTCAGAACCATCTTGTGGGTGCACTGGTTGCCACATCTCTTTGGAAGGATAATTGGCTTAAAGCTGTGAATAGCTATGAATTCAAGAACTGTGTATTAGTAGGAGTACAGTAAGAGAAATATTTGGCTATGATTCTGAGCTGCCTGTATATTTGGCTGTCCTCAGATTCATGAAGAGAAGCTCCTCTATTGGAACATGGCTGTTCGAGACTTCAGTGTCCTCATCAACCTCATAAAGGTGAGTATGGGGGCTCTTGACCCATCTCACCAGCGAACTGCAGAAAGCAAGGGTCCTGGCTTCCAAAACGGACTCTCCTTGTTCCTCCCCATACTTTCTTAGGACCTGCTTTCCCCTCATCATCTTCTTGCCTTGTCTCTCTACCCTTCTTCTCTCCCTAGGCAGTATCCTTTTTATTCTCTTCCTTCCTCCCACCTGTAATTCCTTCACTTTCTTTCACTTTCCCTTGGGTCCTCTATGATATAAGCATATTCCCTCTTCCAACCCTGAGTGCCTTTGTTATCCTTTAAAGACACTGTGTTCTCACTTGCTCTGTCATTTTGCTCAGGCTGTCCCCTGAGCCCAGAATGTCATCATCTCTCCTTTCCACCTCTGTCATGCAGTCTTAAGGCTTCAGATTTAGATTTTGGACCTCTAATAATGCCAGCTTCTCAACATCCTTAGTTGGAGTCAGTGTCTTGTTCCCCTTTGTTCCTCTCTTCCATTTCTTGAACTTCAGTTGTGGTGATTACTTTATTCTGCTTTGTAGTTAATTTAACTGTTGACATGCCTTCTTCATTTTAGAATTCTCTGCAGCACTCAGAGCTATGTTTTGCACAGTAGGAAAGAGGCTGGGAGGCTCAAAGGAGCAGAACTCAGCTTTGATTTCTTATCTTTCACCTCTCCAGGTATTTGATAGTCGTCCTGTTCTGCATGTGTGTTTGAAGGTGAGCCATTTACTGGACCCTGTTTAGTATTTATTCTTCCTGTGGATCAGTCTAGAGAGTGCCTCAGCTGAGATGAATTGCCCGATACCTTGCCCACAAGCCAGAGTCTCCAGAATCTGTGCAAACAGGTGGTAGTTTAGGGACAGCAATGGAAACGTTTTCCCACACTAGTTGAGTGACTGGAAAAGCCAATTTTCCTATGAGTTTGAAAACTTTTGGTCAGAATCTTTGAACTAGGAGGAGTGGCTTCAGGGCAGTTGAGTTTAGGAGCAGTAGTCACCCTCCCTTGTCATCCCTTCCCAGGCAACAGAGAGGAAGGAGGAATGGATGATTCCTCTTTTTTAAAGCCTGTGAAGTGGCCTCATGGATGTGGGATCTGATATCCTGATAACTGCCAAACTCCTCTCGTGTGGGAATAGCCCGGAATAGTCCTAGATTTGATGGTAAAGCCAATGGGGAGAATGCTCTTCCCCACTCCCAGCATTTCCTTCCAAGTGGATGGCATCCTGTTCTTGTTGTCTCCTAGCCTCTCTCCCTCTTTGCTCACGTCACCCTGGCATGGTGTGGGAGATGGGTCAGTCAGGGAGAGGAGTGATTTATCTGATTGGGAAATTTGGAAATTGATCATATGCTTCCTCAGCTCAGTTTTCCTCTTGGGAGTAAATTATGCTCAGGGAGCTGGAGTTCCGCTCTACTCCTCTGTGCTCTCACTCTTAAGCTGAACAAAGTCCCTGTCAATTGGCTGTGTCTAGGGTAGGTTAAGTGTGCTTAATTCCAGGGCTTAGCTGGCAAGCGCATCTAGTTTTTGCATTAAGCTACATTCTCCAAATTTTGGACCCCTCCCAATTTATTTTTTACATGTAAAAATAAGAAAGTAAAACCCTTGGGCTGGGTGATGCTGTTCTGCCTCAGACAGTGGCCTTTCAGGTGAAAGACCTCCGCTAAAGGTGACCAGTGTGTCTCTTTTCTTCAGTATGGACGTCTCTTTGTGGAAGCATTTCTGAAGCAATGTATGCCGCTCCTGGACTTCAGTTTTAGAAAACACCGGGTAAGAGCTGAGAGAAGAGAGTAAAGACATCTTCTGAAGACATGCTCAGAAGATATGTCCGTGGTGACTTCTGAGTTGGGGCTGGGGGTGGGAGCAGTCCCCGTGCCCATATTCTGGGCTACAGTTCTACTTGGGCACCCCTGGTCCACTTCTCCTATAGCCGGAGATGCCCAAATAGGACTGAATGTTACAAAGTAGGCTGAACTCTTCAGACCCACTCTGGTTCAAACCCACTTTTATACTTGTACTCCAGACCTGAGGGAGGTGGTTCTTGTTAGTTTGATATTATTGTGCTACTGCACTCCCAGGACCTCTTGTATCAGTGTGTCATTTGCTTTTTCCTTTGTGCTTCTCTAGGTCTACTCTCAGGGATGATTAACATAAAAAAGAACTCCTTTGTATCGTAATACCTACCCTTTGCTATTGTAATGAATAGTCTTGATAGTTTTTTAGCCAAATGGCACCCAGGACTAAAGTAGTAAAGTAAGGATAGAAACAGATGATTTTCTGTAAATATTTAGCAAATTGAACTTTGGAAAGCACTGTCATCATATTTGGTCGGTCCCTCATAACCCTGAACAAGAAAAAGAAGGTAGTATTTTGGCCAGGCACGGTGGCTCACGCCTGTAATCCTGGCACTTTGGGAGGCCGAGGCGGGCGGATTGTTTGAGCTCAGGAGTTCGAGACCAGCCTGAGCAAGAGCGAGACCCCGTCTCTACTAAAAAAAAAAAAAAAGAAAGAAATTATCTGGATAACTAAAAATATATAGAAAAAATTAGCCGGGCATGGTGGCTAATGCCTGTAGTCCCAGCTACTTGGGAGGCTGAGGCAGTAGGATCGCTTGAGTCCAGGAATTTGAGGTTGCTATGAGCTAGGCTAATGCCACAGCACTCACTCTAGCCAGGGCAACAGAGTGAGACTCTGTCTCAAAAAAAAAAAGAAGAAGGTAGTATTTTATCCTAATATTGCAGATAGGGAAACTGAGACATGGTGATCTACTTAAAACTAAAATCCAGGTCTTAGAACTCTCAGATTTACACAAGGGACAGAAGTGAAAGGGTTGAGAATAAGAGGTAGCCAGCATTCTTCCTCCTATTTAAGGGCCAAATGAAGATGATTTTCAGCTTAGGCAAGCAACTGTAGAGCTTATCCTCTTCGGAGCCCGTGGTTGTAAGGATATCTTGCATCCAGAATGAAATTACCACATTTCATATAGCATTTATGAATTTTGTTGGTTATAGGAAGATGTTCTGAGTTTACTGGAAACCTTCCAGCTGGACACAAGGCTGCTTCATCACCTGTGTGGACATTCCAAGGTAAGAGGGGGATGCAGGTCCTGTTAGCAGCCTGCCTGTTGGCTTAATCCGCAATTGCTATTGGGAGATCCACAGGCTACAATTACTGCTGCTTTTTTTATCCTTTCTTGAGCCTTTATATCAGGGACTGTGTCTGTCCAAAGACAGTTCATTCAGAGCAGTCAAATCCTTAGTGCTGGTTGAGATTGGATAATCATCTAAGGGAAATTTCTGCATCTGAAATTTGACTCTCATTCCATAGCCCTATTTCCTTTAGAAACTCTTCTTGGGTGAGAGATATAGAAGTTTGGTGGGTGTATGACTGCTACAAAGTCCTCTGGATAGAAGGACTGTAATGTAAGTGATTCTGCTGTAGACAGGAGGTGGCTCTACAGCAGCTATCTTAGAGGCTTTCAGCTGTGCTACTTGTCAAGGAATGCATCTGTCTCTTGTGAGAACATCTTAGCCTTAAAGGACTTTTCCACTTGAAGCATTCTTATAGTTGTTGAGCCATTGTCACTTTTTGTCTGAAGGAACACAGAACCCTAGAGGTCTATAGTTAGTAGCAAACCGACTGATTCTTCGATCCAATTCCTATTGCTTACTTGCCGCCCTGGTTCTAAGTTTAGAAGGTGCTGAACAGTAGAATTTTAAGGATTCTCTCAGCTAAACAAAACTACTCTTTGTTGTTTAATATCAGTATAATGTATGTTCAAGGATATTTTAGGTAGATGCATTACTTACCTTGACTCTTAGCTTGATGGGGATGGTAATCAGGACCCAGTGTCTGCTCCTGTCGCCTTCGCCTCCTGACCTGTAGCCACCATGCATGAATGCATCTCCATCCACGTTGGCCAGGCTGGTGTCTAGATTGGCAATGCCTACTGGGAGTTCCGTTGCCTGGACCATGGCATCCAGCCTGATGGCCAGATGCCAAGTGACAAGACCACTGGAGAAGGAGATGACTCCTTCAACACCTTCTTCAGTGAGACAGGTGCTGACAAGCATGTGCCTAGGGCAGTGTTTGTAGACTTGGAATCTACAGTCATTGATAAAGTGCGCATTAGTACCTACCACTAGCTCTTCCACCCTGAGCAGCTCATCACAGGCAAGGAAGATGCTGCCAATAACTATGCCCGTGGGCACTACACCATTAGCAAGGAGATCATTGACCTTGTCTTGAACCGAATTCGCAAGCTGGCCAACCAGTGCACAGGTCTTCAGGGCTTCTTGGTTTTCCACAGATTTGGTGGGGGAACTGGTTCTGGGTTCATCTCCCTGCTGATGGAATGTCTCTTTATCGATTATGGCAAAGAGTCCAAGGTGGAATTCTCCATTTACCTAGCCTCCCAGGTGTCCATAGCTCCATAGCTGTAGTTGAGCCCTACAACTCCATTCTCACCACCCACACCACCCTGGAGCACACTGATTGTGCCTTCATGATAAACAATGAGGCCATCTATGACATCTGTCATAGAAACCTTGATATTGAGCACCTGACCTACACTAACCTAAACAGCCTTATTAGCCAGATCGTGTTCTCCTTCACTGCTTCCCTCAGATCTGATGGAGCCCTGAATGTTGATCTGACAGAATTTTAGACCAGCTGGTGCCCTATCCCCACATCCACTTCCCTATGGCCACATATGCCCCTGTGATCTCTGCTGAGAAAGCTTACCATGAACAACTTGCTGTAGCAGACATTATCAGTGCTGGCTTTGAGGCAGCCAACCAGATGGTGAAATGTGACCCTCACCATGGTAAATATATGGCTTGCTGCCTGTTGTACTGTGGTGATGTGGTTGCCAAAGATGTTAGTGTTGCCAGTGCCACATGAAGACCAAGCGCAGCATCCAGTTTGTGGATTGGTATCCCACTGGCTTCAGGGTTGGCATCAATTGCCAGCCTTCCACTGTGGTACCTGGTGGTGACCTGGCCAAGGTACAGAGAGCTGTGTGCATGCTGAGCAACATCACAGCCATTGCTAAGGCCTGGGCTTGCCTGGACCACAAGTTCGACCTGACGTATGCCAAGCATGCCTTTGCTCACTGGTACATGGGTGAGGAAATAGAGGAAGGAGAGTTTTCTGAGGCCCATGAGGACATGGCAGCCCTTAAGAAGGATTATGAGGAGGTTGGTACAGATTCTGTTGAAGGAGAGGGTGAGGAAGGAGAAGAATACTAATTATCCACTCCTTTCAGCCCTGCAGCATGTCATACTTTCAGAATTTCAGCTTCAACATTAGCTGACAGGCATTAAAGCTTTCTGGTTAGATTGTTTTCACTCAGTGGTGATCATATTTTACTTTTCCATGTGTACCTGTAAGACTTTTTCCCTCATGTTTTAAAGTAAAATTTTTAAGAAAAATAAAAACAAACAAGATTTTAGGTAAATACATTGATGATTGGTCAATAAGAGGTTATGAGGAAGAGCTAGAGGTCTTGGTGGTATGTCTTCTAGGCTCTGAATTTTTTAGCTGCCATTCTCCTTGGAGTACTCTGTCAAACTCCTGCTCTTTGATGAAATATATCTCTGGCCCATATTGATAGGGCTTATGTTCTTATTCAGTGTTTAAGGTGTTAGGAATTCAAAAGGCTCTGTATAGGAAGTGTGAAGGCATGATAAACTTACATGAGATGGGTGTATTTATTTCTATTCAGATTCACCAGGACATGAGACTCACCAAACACGTGCCTTTGCTCAAAAAGACCCTGGAGCTGTTAGTTTGCAGAGTCAAAGCCATGCTCATCCTTAACAATTGCAGAGAGGCTTTCTGGCTGGGCAATCTCAAAAACCGGGACTTGCAGGTAAGCCTTGGGCCCTGCAAGTAATAATCCCCCACACCCATTCTTTGTGGGAACATCAGAAGGTATGTAAGGGGGGTAACATAAGCCCTGCTCTCTCTCTTTTTTTTTGAGACAGAATCTCACTCTGTTGGCCGGGCTAGAGTGCCATGGCGTCAGCCTAGCTCACAGCAACCTCAAACTCCTGGGCTCAAGTGATCCTCCTGCCTCAGCCTCCCGAGTAGCTGGGACTACAGGCATGCACCACCATGCCCGGCTAATTTTTTCTATATATTTTTAGTTGTGCAGCTAATTTCTTTCTATTTTTAGTAGAGACAGGGTCTCGCTCTTGCTCAGGCTGGTCTCGAACTTCTGAGCTCGAGCAATCCTCCCACCTCGGCCTCCCAGAGTGCTAGGATTACAGGCGTGAGCCACAGCACCTGGCCTTGCTCTCTCAATAAGACTACTATTTTCTTAAGTCTTTGGCTGTTTAGCTCTTAAAGTTAGGGTACATTGTTTATGGGTCCTGGTCACAGGCCGCACCCTTCATCCCAAGCAGCGAAGACACCGAAACATGCCATTGGTATAAACAGTGCCTCAGTGGTAAAGGAGCCAGATCAGTACAAACCTCTCTCCACAGCCAGAGGGGCGCCTTTAAGCCCTATTGAGGGTAGATTTTATAATAGCATTTTTATATGTGGACAAATATTTTTGCGTTTGGTTATTTTGTTTTTTTTTTTTCCTAAGCCAGTCTATCACACTCCTGAAATTATAAATTACTCTGGCTAATTTTAACAAATGAACATTTCTAAGGTCTTTCAATGGTCTAGCTGAAATCTTGGGTTGCTTATAACACTGTTTTGGAATTAAAGCAATTTTCAAATAGGGGATAAGCCCCTTCTCATTCATGCTTCCTATATCTGAGTTTTATAATTAGTTGTATACAAAAAGAATAGCACCATGGAGAATTAGCTTCCTTTCTTTGCATCAACCCTATGAGGTAGATATTATTGCTTCTTTGTGAAAATTGAAGCCCAGAGAAATTAAGTTGTTTACATAAAATCATTCAGCAATAAGTGAGTGGAGCCAGGGTTTGAGTCTAAGCAGTCTTAATCCAGAGTTGATGTTCTCCAGCCACTTCACTACACTATCTTTCATTCTCTACACAGCCATTCATGGTTGGCATGTTGGTGCTTATATACCTTGAGGTATTACAGGAAATCTTAGAACCATGTTCAACATTAAATGAAAGAGTCACCAATGCAGTCTAGCCTTGTAAAATCTCATATGATACAAGAATACAAAGATGAACCTTTTGTAGAACTACTTATTATATGAGAGCCACAGGCATCTCAGAAACCTGAGGTTGAGTATACCTTCTCTAGATGCTGGATCACAAGTTGGTGCCCATGTTTGACCATGTTTTCAATGGCTAGAATATCTTCCTTTGTGTTGCCTGTAAACTCAGCCTTTCTCCCTGAGATCCCAAATGTAATCATTATAACCCACCATTTTTCTTGGTCCATTCACATTTAGGGTGAAGAGATTATATCCCAAAATTCCCAGGAGAGCATAGCAGATGAGAATGAGGAAGACAAATCATCCCAGGTCTCCAAAAGCAAAATAACAGAGGTATCTCTTCAAAGGGCCCCAGGGTCTGGCATTGGTGGTTGCATTTTGTTAACTATTCTGAGTTGGTAGAGAGAGCAGAACTTTCCCTGATTATGTTTATTATCAAATAGTTCTATGTCCATCTCCATTCCCTCCAAAAAAGCTTCTGTGCTTATATAATTTTGTAGAGCCAAGAAAAAACAATCACAAAATCTTAGAATCACTCATGAGTATCTTAAGTTGGGGCAAATGTTAAGAAATTGAAAATTTCTTTCCATTATAGCCTCCTATTTTCCATGAATTTATATCCGAAACCATTTTAGAAGGGAGAAAAGAAGTCGAAGTATTCTGAATGTTGAGAGGAATGAGTTAAACCATTTGAACATGTTTGAACATACAAAAATAGAAATGTGAAAGCCAAAGCAGAGTCAGAAGCTGCTACCATAGAGGATTAAAATAAGAATATAGGTCCTTATTTTTTTCTGTGGTACAGATGCTTTTGAGAATTTAAAGAAAGTTAAATAAAAATGTGTATGTTTATAAAATTTTGGCACAATTCAGGTAGGTTATGGACACCAAGAAGCTCAGAGTTAAGAACCCTTGCTGTGGGGCTTCTCTATCATGCATTTGAGGCTGATGCAGAAAGATTGTTTAGTATGAAAAGCCCTTTTATTTACATGGTCCTCTGTTTTATTTGTATGACATACCTCCTCTCTGTTCTCATGGAGAATTTGAAGCAGACAATATCCTATTAGTTTGGTACTTTCTCCTAAGCAAACCTCCCATACTAGAGTTGCAAACCAGACAGAATTTTGTGGATTCCTGTTAAGATACACTGGTACTTTGTTCCTATGTTATACACATACAGTAGAGGTGGAGGGCCATGGCTTATTTAAAAATCATGCAAATTTGGTTTAGTTGCAAAATGGCGTGAGTCAGTATCAAAATGACTGACCTCCTTCTGTGATCTTAGCTTAGCGTTTATGATGTCAAGAAGAGTGGGAAGCTGGAGTTGGTGGCTGTTGCCTATAAACCCAGCTACTCCGGAGGCTGAGAGGCAGGAGGATTGCCTGAGGCCAGGAGTTTGAGACTAACCTGGGCAACATGGCAAGACCCCACCCCTTTAAAAAAAAAATAGGGGAGACTCTGATTTCATTTTAAAAATGTATGGTTTAAAATCTATCATTGGTTTTAACAATGATAACAGTAGAGTTGTACATCTTGTGGGAGCTGTATTCATGAGGTCTGCCAGAGCAGTGATCTAAAATACTTATTTGTCCTTTATCCCTTAGGATGGTGAAGAAGATGAAGCAAGTGCTGAAGAAAAGGAGCAAGATAGTGATGAAAGTTGTGATGACTCTGAGTAGACCCCGGAGAAACTGTTGCTCCTTTCCCCATCTGTGCCATCGTATGACCATTTTGTGTTCAGAGTTTGAAATCTGCTGTTTCCCTTAACTCAATTGTGGATTTCATTGATTGTCTAACATCAAAGGCCCAGGTTTCCCCTGTAGCATCATTTATTGGTTTGGATAAACATGACGATGCTATGCTGTAAAGTAAAAACTCTGAGGCGTGATTCTGGGCCTTAGGAGCTAGTTTTGAAACTCTTTGGTTTATTGTAGAATTTAGGCTTGTATCACTTTTACAAATAAATTTTGTTCTAACTTCTATCTCACTAACTCATTTCTGTTTCTGGATTTCCTTCATTATTCAAGGATTAGATGGAATTGAGTTGAGGTTTGTGCAGAGAAATAATGGAGACAGAGGCCGGGCGCGGTGGCTCACGTCTATAATCCTAGCTCTCTGGGAGGCCGAGGCGGGCGGATTGTTTGAGCTCAGGAGTTCGAAACCAGCCTGAGCAAGAGCGAGACCCCGTCTCTACTAAAAATAGAAAGAAATTGATTAGACAACTAAAAATATATAGAAAAAACTAGCCGGGCATGGTGGCGCACGCCTGTAGTCCCAGCTACTCAGGAGGCTGAGGCAGAAGGATCGCTTGAGCCCAGGAGTTTGAGGTTGCTGTGAGCTAGGATGACGCCACGACACTCTAGCCCGGGCAACACAGTGAGACTCTGTCTCAAAAAAAAAAAAAAAAAAAAAAGAAATAATGGAGACAGGTGCTAACATAGTTCTGCCGATTAAAATCATGTCTCCTATTATAAGGATAAACTTCATTTGAGATGGAAAATCTTTGTGATCTTTCTGGAGGAGCGACTTGAACCTCTTGTCAATGCCCAATATCAAAAGGAATATTTTGGCTGGTTTGTTAAATTTTTTGGTTGGTTTTTTAGCATAAGAGGGGGAAAAAGGCAGCATCAAACTCATGTTGACTTTTTATATATAATGTTTATTTCCATATTATTCTGAGTTATGCCTATAATCTAATTATAAAATGCTACAAAATTACTTGTAGTTTATTAGAAATAGAACATCAGGAGTACACTTCAGCTAAAATGGGGACTTTCGTGTCTTCTGCCAGAAAGCACAGTTTCAGTGCTGCTACTAAGTTTTGTCTTGCCAGGCTGTAAATATTGTTTAATATTTGTTAATATTTCTACCCATTTTTATATTCTAATAGTCTTAGGGTGTAGCTGGTTAGGGGTTTTTTTGTTATTGTTTTTGGTAGGGGGAGGTTGTTTTTTAAACTAATCCTTGACCCACATAAAGATATTTGACCCCTTCATTCTCTGGTACATAGAAATCTATACATCTCTTTCCTGGACACCCCTTTGCTATCCCAATTTGTTGTGGTTTTTGGTGTTTAAGTGAGTTCACAGTAGGCTCATTGGTTTATGTCGTTTGTTTAATGGTTCTTTATCACATGTAGATGTGAATGCTAGTTTTGACTCTCTTTTAAATGGTTGTTCAGCTTTACAATGGAAGTGTTCTCCCTTGCTCTGTATCACTGGCCCTTTCTTGAAGGGGAAGAGAGAGAAGGGACTCCCAAATGGTCACTGCTTGACAGAAAAGCAAGATGGCTGGGGCAATGTCACAGTTTTGTTTATGTGGACAAGTTTCTATAAGCTTCAGGTACATATACCAAAGGGCACAGTGTGAAGAACTGGGAATCAAAAGGAGACCCTTTACTTGGAGTGTTGCAAGGCAAAGGTGCACTTCTTGTACGTTGCATATAGCAAGAGGATAGAGCGCAGCATCTGTTTGCACATAGTCACTGTCATCTGAATCTGAGGCTCCTTAAGTCCAGTGGGCCACTGATGCTCCCTGCTAATGATTTTGCAAAAGGCTGACTTGTCTGAAACTCTGAAGGTCCCGGTCCACTTTGGTGGCTGAGCTGTGATGACCCTGCCAAAGACAGAATCCACTCCACTGAGGCGAATGGGCTGGGGCTTCCTGACCAGTCCTTTCTTGTTGTTCGTGGTTTGGAGCTCTGGTGTGTGGCATGGTAACTTGGTACTCATTCCAGTTTCCAGGAATGAGCTCTCTAGGAGTACAGCGACCTCTTGAAAGCACAGCTGCACTTTAGGGTCAGGAGGGGTGCGTGAGAAGTAGGGGGGGGCCCTAAAGGGGTGCTTGGAGGAAGGTGTAGGTGTTGTGTGCCGCAGCCATTGGAAGCTCTCGTCCAGTGGGGTCCATGGTGACCAGAGCTGGTATCTTGCCATTGACAGTCCTAAAGGAGAGGAATCAGAACGTGGAATTTCCTTGGCATACTTTTGGTGAGGGCATGGTGGTTCACATTCCCATCTCTTTCTCATTATTGACTTAATCTGTAGTTCCCATGAAAAGATTCCAACAGGTGTTGGGGTATTAGTAATTCTGTGAAAGACAATAGGGAATGGTTAAAGTATTGAATCTAGCAACTGCTATGTGGACTAAAGCTTTATTAAACCTTTTCATAAGCCTCTGGAGGTAGGTTTTAACCCATTTTACAGAAAAGGAAATGGATTTGTCTGAAATGGACTATTGTAGTCCACCATTAGGACCTATGCTGTGTTGTTAGCTCTGTTAGCTTATGACAGAATCTATGCCTCTGAAGTGGCAGAGGCAGCTGGGACTTGATAATGAGACCTTATTATTAGAGATTAGAAGAAGCTCAAAAAGGACACATCTTAAAATATTTGTGACTTTAACTCTGTGTACTTTATAGTAGTGGTTCTCAAAGTATGATCCCTGGATTAGCAGCTTTAGCATCATTTGGGAACTTGGTAGAAATGCAGATTTTGGGGCCCCACCTCAGACCTACAGAAACAGAAACTCTGGGACACAGCAATCTGCATTTATACAGACCCTCAAGGGGATTCTCTTGCACTGTATATTTTGAGGACTTAACGCTGTTCCTTTCAGGCAACTCTAGCTTTCCCTATTCTTCATTATGCAGTTTACTCTTGGCCCTAAAAGCCTCTGTGTTTTCTAACATAAGGGAGCAGCTCTCTCCAACCCTGGGCTATTTATGTACCACCTCAGAGGATTTACACCTACTGGGAGGAAAAAACTTTTCTAAAGGCCAATCTTTAAAAATTTTTAAAATGTTTTTGTTTTTCTAGATGTGGATTGGCTTTTTTTTTGTTTTTTTCATCTATGGGAGACCTCGATTTTTTTTTTGAAGATAAAGAGCTGTGAAGTTATTGCTAACTCAAAGTTTATTCAAGTAGAATTTGGATTTTCCATTATTTCTACTTCAAAATTATCAGTATTTAAGAGGTTTTGCTGAATTCAGGAGAAGCTAATATTTTTTAAGCACCTACCTATTATGTTAGGGAGCATAGCAGATCCCTTTTCTTTCCAGCCAAATGTATTTCTCTGCCCCTTCTTCTCCCACAAAAGGTAACAGTGGCAGATCTGATCCTATCCTGTCCAGGAATCACTCCAAAAATGCTGTGAAAAGTTGGCATTTCCACCACAGTTTGTGAGACAAAAAAGTTCATTTTAAAAAAAGAACTGTTGGTGACATTTCAGACCAGAAGACCTGCCCCTGATAATGGTTAGTAGAAGGGGGATTTGTTGATTTTCCTCCACCTAGTATGTTTCTCATAACCTACGCAGATTATTAAGTGTTCTTTGCAAATTATTAAGTGTTCAAATATCTGGGCTGCCTTAGGATGAGAAACTGACACCCAACGGACAGTTATCTATTCCAAACAGCCTATGAGAGGCTTCTGATGCTTGATACTTTGACCTTTAGAGCATACAGACAAGATGAGGGCCATTCTGGTACATGGCCGTGGCAAGGTGGGGATGGGGAGAGTATTAATGCTCTGAGCATAAGACCAAAAGAGTGTTTAATCCCAAGATCCTTTTCTTGACTTATCCGAAGAGGAAACAGAGGCAGAGGTAAAAGACTTTGTCCAATGTCCAGCCTAAATATATGGCAAAATGAAGGGGAGGAGAAGGCTTCTGACCCTAGGTCTTTGCACCCCTTCACACAAGGTTTAAGAAAGATGGTTCACTCCATCCCCACTACCCAAAGTCACCGTCATCCACTCCAGGAGGATTTGAACCTAGGAAGTCTGTTCAACCTGCTCTAATGGCTCCTAGATAGGGTACACCTGGTTCTCCTGGCTGAAAAAGCTTCCCCTTCATACCGCTCCTCCCATTCCAAGGAGCCCCATCGCCTAATTTCCCCACCTGGGAAAGGGGAATGTAGCGGAAAAGAGCAGCTGGGGTCCTCGACAACTGTAAACTGCGGATCCTGAGAAGCTGGAGCTGCCGGGGAGTGCGAGAGTAGCTCCACCTCCCCGCCAGAAAAAGGGACTTGTTTCCCCCAGGGTCCCTAGCCGGGGCGGGAGCCAGAAGGCTCTGGCTGAGGCGGAGGAGGCAGTGGGAGCCCAGGCCCGGTCCCACCATCCGGGCCAAGGGCTCACCTGCTGAACTCCGCGGGCTGCACGCTCCAGAGCATCTTTTCTCCATCCGGCGCCTGGCAACCGCCTTTGTGACCCAGGACCACGAGCTAGCTCGAGCCACGGGGCGAGGGTGAGGTCTCGAGGCGCCCCGCTGGAGGGAGTGGTCGGGCTGGACTCCCCACCCCCACCTCCTTAGAACGCCATCCAGGACCCCAGCTTCAGGAGGGCTGCCTTTGATCCAGTCACAGAGGACAGACATCCCTACTTAAAAAGTCTGTGGTTGGGGACCTGCATAAAAATATCAGGACCTGTAGTTAGTGTTAGAAGTTAGTCTCTACTCATTACACCCTGTTCAATGGGAATTTGGCTGAGTGACCCAGAGCCCTGAAAGCTTTTGTTCCTCTACTGGAATGATCCCAGTGCAAGGAGACAGAATTTATAAATGCTTTCCTGTTGAGAGCAAGAGAAAGATACGAAAGTCTTTCCAAACCTCAAAAAGGACGATTATGTCTCATTTTTACAGTGCTGAAAAACTGACATTTTGGGGCTGGGGAGGGTGGTTCACACCTGTAATCCTAGCACTTTGGAAGGCAGAGGATCTCTTGAGGCCAGGAGTTTAAGACCAGCCTGAGCAAGAGCAAGACCCTGTCTCTATAAAAAATAGAAAAATTAGTGGAGTGTGGTGGCACAGGCCTCTAGTCCCAGCTACTTGGGAGGCTGAGGCAGGAGGATCACTTGAGCCCAGGAGTTTGAGGTCGCAGTGAGCTATGATGATGCCACTGCACCCTAGCCTGGGAGATAGAGCAAGACCCTGTCTCAAAAACAAAACAAAACAAAAACCCTGACTTTTTTGCCATAGTGAAAGTGATTTGACAAATTTGTAACCATCACTTCAAACAATTAACCCTGGATGGCTGAGGAAAGGGAGAAGTCTATCTAGCTGACACCTGTATCCCAAGTGCCTGGTTATTGCAGTACCTGGCAGAGTGCAGTATAAGTGTGGGAGGAATTAACTAATAGCCCATCTATATACGCAGAATTGCCTTTGTACTTTGAGAACTAGAGAACACAGCACAACTTAGAGTTGTCACCTTTTATCTAGTTTTTTGGGTAAAGTTAGAGACTGAGGGCTTGAGGATGCGGTCAGGCTGAGATCCTCGTTTACAAGACCAGAGTCTTTAGATACTGGTCAAGAATTGTCAGATGCCCATTATGTGCACCTGTGGTGTGTGCCTACTGTGTGTGTAACTGTGGGAGAAGGGGTAAGTGGAGAAGAATTTGGAGGGAGTGTCAGAAAATGGAGAGGGGGGCAGAGAATGATGAGACTTGGAAGAGACACAAATGATTTTTAATTACAAAACGTTTTCCCCCAGTCAGTTCATTTTTGTTTTCTTCTTGAATAAAAGGGAGCCGTGTTATTTTAAAAGCAAACAAAACAGTAATTTTTATTTAGTTTTTAATTGCACAGTGGCAGTTTTTTCCCCCTTAAATGAAAGCCCTCAATGCAAAATTGTATGATTAAAAATTGTTGGATACAGAGGGCTTCATAGTGTTCGATAATCTGTACCACACTCCTCTGCAGTCTGCCCAGCTCTAAGGGATGTGTTCTCAGAAATGCTATTTGCCATCACCTCCAAGTCTGCAATACTGCTCCATGTGCAAAACCGGAGTCCTGATGCTACACATTACTGATGGCCTACATAAACTTGGTCTGTATCATGCAGTGCTCAACATTAGAGAACAATTTATATTTTGTTTTTCCCTCCAGTTTATAGTGTTTTCGTGTTGCTCTAGTGTTCACAATTGTCATTTAAATGACTGTATAATATTGAAAATATTGCCTTAAGTGGCTATACCATTGTTTACTCATTCCTCAACTGCTGAGATTTAGTTCTTGTAGCATTAATAGAGTATCTTTGCGCCTTTTTAAAGTGGTAGGTTTTTTCAATGATTTTCTTAATGAAATGATTAGGTCAAAAGGTTTGAAATTTTTTGCAGCTCTTGCTATCAGCTTACAAATTCTTTGTAAAAGGACTGTGCCAGTTTAGAGTGTGCCCTACCAATTTCGCCTCAGCCTCTCCATCATTGGGTATTGTCGTTAGAAAAATGCTTTGTTCATTTGACAAACATGAGGTGGGACATCACGTTGTACTGTTGAAAAGCATTTCAAAAATGACTTGTACTTAGTAGGGTCAATCTATTGTGCCCATCCTAGTGCAGACTGCGTAACCTGAGCCCGGAACAGCCGAGGGAGGAAGCGGCACGAGCCTACGCGCCCCCTAACGACCCAAACCGCCAGTGATGGGCGCGGGTGGGTGGTTCTTGACGCCTGCGCACTCTGTCCTCCCCGCCCGAGTTGCATCTGTTTTCCCGGGCGTGGGAGCCGAGAGAGAAAGCCTGCGAGAACGCGACATTGCGCAGGCGCACCACAATGTCCGTAGATTCGTGGGTGCCAAAGGGATGGGTGTGGGCTGGGGGCGCAGGCGCACTGGCCACCGGTAGGGTTGGGGCGCCTGCGCGGTCGCTCTTCCTTAGGCGGCAGCCATGGCGGGGCAAGAGGATCCGGTGCAGCGGGAGATTCACCAGGACTGGGCGAACCGGGAGTACATTGAGGTCATCACCAGCAGCATCAAGAAAATCGCGGACTTTCTCAACTCGTTTGGTCAGCAGGCGAGCAGGGGGAGGCGAGGAGGAGGGAGGCCTTTGAGGCGGTTTGGCTGGCGCGCAGAGAAGCTTTGAGGGGACTCTCCGGGAGCCTTCGGCTCTTGCTGGTTTTCACTTCCTCCTTCAGGCCCCACCTTCCCTCTCCTGCCCTGACCCTCTGGCTCCGCTAGGCTGTCTCTGTGAGGGTATCCTGCTCTAAGCTGAGCTGATGGACTTCTTGCCACCCCCCACCCCGGGACCCCTTCACAAGTCCTTTTTCCAGACACGTTAGGCAGCCCCATCCACACTCGAGTGTTTTTTTGTCTTCAGTGATCTCCCTGCGTCCTTCGTGCTTTGCTTCCATTCCAGTCCCCACTTTGCACTCGCAATGCATAGCGGAGATCGTGTCACTGCCCTGTTTGAAGACTCTTGACTGTACGCTATCTTCAGGATGAAGTCAAAACCCCGTAGCGTCGTGCCTTTTAGTCGTGCCCTCAGGCACTCTCCTATCCATTCCTTCCTGTCTCCTGTGCATGCTGATAGTGGTAGGAGATGAGGTCAGAGGTAAGGTTTGGCTCTCACAGGGCCTTGGAAATCCTCTCTATATTGCCAGTATCTAGCTTGTAGTAGGCGTTCTGTCTGTAGGCGTGACATCTAGCCATCTTTTTCCAACAGTGTACCTTGGTTCCACTAATTCAGGGACATTAAGCACTTACGATTAAATAGGGGAAACTGATGTGTTAAAAAAAAAGATTTCAAAACGAATGAATATTTTCTAACTAAAGAATCGTTGAGTCCTAAGGAGTATAAAAGAGAGCAAGAGTTTCGTGAGAAAGCATTAGCAAGAGAAACGAGATCTCAAAACAAGGCCCTCTCTTAAGGCACTGTAGGGGACACAGAATAAGAACCATTTCCTACATTCAGAGAAGTTATAATCTTGAAAAAATGGCTTCAGGATAAAATAGAGCATCGTCTTTGTATTAACGTATTTACATACAAGATGTATAGGACTGTAATCTTGACGTGCCGCAGTATGGTGCATTTCCTCACTCATCAGAGAATGGGGGTGAAGGTCGTGTTAATGTGAGCATAGTATAAATGTATATGTCACTGATACACTTTCAGACACATAAATTGCTGTAGAGGTTGTATTAGGGAATGGTAGTCAAGAAATCACAGATCTTATGTATGCTGAAATATCTCCTTTTTTTGAGGAATATAAGTGAAGGAGTATGGCTTAGTGAAAAGATAAGTGGATTTGGAATCAGGAGACCCAGACAGGCTAGACTGATTGATTTTAATCAACTGAAAACATTTGAGAGGTACTGACCTATTTACCCTGCTACTCAGATAGTCTGGTTTTCCTCAGAGTTTTTTTTAAAGTTCTATGCAAACTATTTCCATGTTAGTTCTCATAATCGGTTTTTACTGCTTTCCTAGAGAGCTGAAATATTATTCTTCACAGCATTCTTTGCTCATAACAGTCCCTCAGAGGAAGGGCCAAATAGGAGAAACCAAAATATTCCATGCTAGGGGACAGAATGAACTGATGACAGGATCATAGCTCTGAGACTTTGGCTTAGTCTGGAGAGGCATTAGAAAGTAGTTTGAAAAACCACTGATGTAGAGAGCTTTAACTTTTTTTGTTTGTTTTGGTTTTGGTTTTTTAGAGATGGGGTGTTGCTGTATTGCCCAGGCTGGTCTCATACTCCTGGCCTCAAGTGATCCTCCAGCCTCTGCCTCCTAAAGTGTTGGGATTACGGGTGTTAGCCTGGGCTTAACTTTATTTTATAATTTTGGAGACAGGATCTCCCTCTGCCAGGGCTAGAATGCAGTGGCACCATCATGGTTCACTGCAACCTCAAACTCCTGGGTTTAAGCGTTTCTCCTGCCTGAGCCTCCTTAGTAGCTGGGACTACAGGCACATGCCACCACACCCAGCTAATTTTAAAATTCTTTGTAGAGAGGGGGTCTTGCTGTGTTGCTTGGGCTGGTCATGAACTCCTGGCCTCAATTGATCCTCCTGGCTCAGCCTACAGGTATGAGCCACCGCACCCAGCCTTAACTTTGTTTTTAAAAGCAGAATTAAATGACTTCATTTATTTGGTAGGAGTTAGTATCTGATATGTACATATGGACTATCCAAGCAGAGTATTAAGAATATCGATCAGTTCAATCAGTATAGCGTTGAAAATAAGTCAAACTGGGGTCGCTTTCCAAAATTTCGAAGTGATCTAGTTTCCTTTGAGGAAGAACTGGGAAAAGAAAAGGAAAAGAAAAAAAAAAAGTGATCTAGCATCTCAGTTCCCCAAATTTGGATCCTGGTAAGGTAATGACTTCATTTCTGAGAAAAGAATCATGTTGGTAAACTTTTAATTCCTGTGTACTTATCTTTGACATAAATCTTCTTGGCATATCACATCCATTAAATTTATAGTGGACGAGTCTTGAGAGTGACTGATAATTGAAAAGCTCGAACTTAAAATTT